GCGCGGCCCGCAGGGCGATGCATTGGCCACTAGCAGGTGCCCGGAGTCGCTGCCGGGCACCGGCTCCTCTCGTGCCGCCGGAGCCTGAGAGAGAGAGAGAGAGACGGAAACGCACCGGCAATGACTCGGAAGACTGAGAGGAAGCTGCTTCAAAAAGAGAGAGAGAGAGAGAAGGCGCCCAACAAGCAAAGAATAGACGACAGAGAGAGGCGGAGAGCAAGACGAAGAGCGAGAGCGCTCCTGCTCCACGACGCTCCGTCTCCAGAGCTTCTGGGCCGAGGACACCAGGAACCAGATGCCAAGGAGGGCGAACTGCGAGCAAAAGCACATAAGAAAACGTCGACAGAATGTAAGAAAATGACAACACGAAAAAACAAACTGAGCAGAGCCCAATTTGAACCTCTGAGAGGCCCTCAGAGGACATGCTTCCGAACAAGCCTCTTCAGACGCGCCCCTTCTCTACGAGCCTCGAGCATCACAAGCATCGCGCAGTATGGCAGCCACCTCGCATTGCTTCGACGCGATGAGCTGATTAACATGACGAGAAGACCCACTGAATAGGTTGGGTGGGTCGAGACATGTCGAGGCCCCTGCCACGGAGCATCGCTGCTAAGGGCATCGTCGAGCACGACCGCCATGGCTGAGAGGTGAGGTTGCTGTGTGTCCTTCGAGTGGAAACCCACGTTCTACACGTGATACGTCCGGACACTTGCCAGTTCCTGGGGCCAGCTGCGATCCCAATAACATTGGCGTTCACGCAAAGACACGGAAGGAGTGCGTGTATGAAACGTGAGACTAAGTGCAAACGCGGCTGTCACATGCCCTTGTCAGCCTTCACAGGCTCCTTCGGCGCCTGCGACCAATGCAATTGCCGAACTGGCAAAACAATGGCGAGGCAGATCACGACGAAGCCATGAGCAAAGCAAAGCCTGGCCTCTGGTTCTACTGTTTCTGGAAAGTCGCCTTGACAAGGGCGACTTTAACCCTCTCCTTCCCAGGGCTGGCCAAACCAAGCACCCGGCGGTCCGATGGCACGGTGTTCGTGCCCACCGTCGTTGCTGTAGCCTCCCAGTCTCTCAGCGCGTTGCAGACTGCAATATTGCAATTGGCACGTGACTGCAACACCCGAGCTCTCTGTGATCCGGCCTCTGTGCTTGGCACAGTAGCAGTGGCCGTTTGGGTGGCTGTCAGGGTAGCAGTTGGCATCACCGTGGGAGTGGATGCTCCATGCAGCGCTGGAGTCCAACCTACCCGGAGCTTTCACGCCAAGGCTGTCTTGGTCTGAGCTTTGGAAAAAAAACACCCTAAAGAACACCTTCTAACGGCCTTGACACACCCCCCCCCCCTTCTCGCTCTGACACGAGTGCCTCCATCCGCCGTGGGCGTGGCCTCCAAAAACAAAGAAACGTCACAAGCTCGCTTCTGTGTTTCTCAAAAGCCCGCCGCTCTCAGATTCCGACCCTCTCGGGGGGGAGGGGGGGGGGGGGGGGGGGGGCACATTATCTTGAACGCCAAAAAACCGCTTACAGACAGCTAGGGAGGTGCTCTCTCGAAGCAGGCTCTCTGAGCTTCAGTCCTCCCCGGCATATCGCGGGGTGGCCTGGCAAAGCTGGCAAAGGGAGATCCTTCGAAGAAGTTGGGGGGGGTGAGAGGAAGAACACCATCAATGGTATTGAGAGGCCAATATAAGGCAATCGTTTCCGGCGGCTTCAGGTCTCTGCACGCCGCAAGCGTTGTCAGGAACGCCTCCGTCGCTGACCACGGCACGGATGAGGGCGGTGCCCTTCCAGCTTGCAACCCTTACATTGCCTACGTTCTCTAGCGTCAACTGTTCGCAACAGGCCAAGCTTGCTCGACGGCTGAGGAGTGCAAGTAGCTGGAGCTGTCTCTTGCGGGCCTCAATCCGGCATTAAGATCGCAACAGCCACGGAAAGCTTGCGCGAGTTGCTGGGTGTTACATGCTGCTCTGCATCAACGAAGATGTCCTTTACTTTTAGCTCGCACGAGAATCCAATCTTGCCTCTCTCCGTACACTTACACTGCACCTCCATGCAACCTCTGACTCTGGCTGCCGAGAGGCGGGGGAGGAGGCGGCGGAGGAGGCAGTGGAGAGGCCTGCACTTGCGTTTGGGGGGAGTTCGTCTTGTGATGTAAGGGCTCCTACGGGTGCCCACGCTGCCCAGGCCGAACGGCAACGACGCGCTTCCTTCCAGGCCCTTCCATCCACCGAGCCTGTGTGGATGACCAATTCGCCGAGGAATCCGGTGCCCTTTCAAGTCACAGGTGGGCCTTTGCTCACGCGCAGCAATCTCAAACAAGCCCGGCTGGCGGAACATGCGCAGAGCCGAGATAACTCGAGCTGCCGCCCGAGTCATACCTTCGCAAAGGGCTGAATCCGCTGGGTGGGGGGGTAGGACCGGGCCCTCTCACACCTCACAACATGTTGACAAGAACTCTCAGTGCAGCAGGGCAGCATCGGCGGCGGCGGTGGTGGTGGGCGCCGGGGTGGAGGCATGTTCGGCTCCGCAGGTCTGCGAGAGTCCCGGGCTCCGGACGGCGGCCTGGCGGGCTCCGCCGGCCGCCTGCGGTCTTTGGAGCCCGCCGCGGCCGCCGCCGGCTCCGCGGGCCGCCGGAGGTCTTTGCCGTAGAGCGGGGACTCCACGTACATGGGCGAGTTTGGAAGTGGGGATGCGACGTACATCGGAGAGGATGGAAGGGGTGCCGAAGGCGGGGGTGGTGGGGCTGGAGGTGGTGGCTGCGCCTGCGCCGCCTGCACATTTGCACATGGCAGATTACCATTGGCCTATCCATGCCACACAAGGTCCATGCCACACAAGGTCGAGCGAACCTGATCGTTGAAGGACGCCGCACCGATGAACTGCGCAAGCTGCATGTTCGACAGGCCTGTCTCACTCCTGAAACAGACTGCATCGCGCAGCAAGTGAGAAACACGCACGCGCACATGAAGGGCGCGCGCGCGCGCGTGCGCGCGCGAACAAACTCAGGGCCCCTGCTGCTCTCGTGATTGGATCCACTGCTGCACTGTGGCCAGGAATTGAGGAGGGATCTTCACCTTCGGCGCACTTGGTGGGCTTGGGGCGACCTCTTGAAGGCTTGGCTTCAAGAGCACTCTCATGTCCGGAACGTCCTGCAAATCAACCTTGCCAACCACCCTCCCGAAGCACCAAGCCCGAACCCTGAACCCTGAATGGAAACCCAAAGCAAACCCTTAAACCCTCAAACCCTTAGAGCAGCCCAAAACAGGAAAAATATTGAACTCTCAAGCCAGCGCAAGAGTGTTGTGGCACATGCTGCGCGTAGCCTTTACACACCGTCCAAGAAGCCCTTCCTCCCAACCAAGTATCTCAGCATACCACTCACCTTCACTAATCTTATTCGCCCTTTCAAGCGAAAGACTCGATCCCCTCACCTGCGCATTGACAGCGGCTTGCAGGCTGGTAGCAACCTGGAACAAGCTGCAGTTCCTTGGCGTGACACAAAAGTGCGTACGCAAATGGCCAATTGGAGCTTCGAGGGCTTCGCCGGGCTTCACTACGTTTGCACGTGTCTAATCTCATCAGACTCACCTACGAGTATCAACACCTCTTGGAAGTTGCTCTTGCGCAGCTTTCCGAGGGTTTCTTGCCCTGCGTTGCTGGAGCTACCCTGCAGCGCGTTGCGCCGTTCCATGCGCCGTTCGCCCACAAACCGAATTCCGTCGCTTCCCTCTCCTCGAATCCCCTGTTTCATGAAGGCGTTGGGTGTTGCAAGCAGAGACTCCGATAGGCTGAGGCTTTAAACTGTCCAGTAGCGTGCTTCAGCGCTTCAAGGCACAGGGGTCCTGACTAGTTGCACGAGCTGGCAGGCTCAAGCATGCCCTGCCGGAGTCAATCAGAATCAGTTCGGCGGTCTTTGGATCGTGCCACATCCTGGAATTAAGCGAGAAAGCACTTTTAGATTTTTGGCTTGGTTCTTGCAAGCCTGTGCAGCGTGACTCTGGCTGCAATTCAACTGGGCCACAGGCGGTGGGGGGGTGACGAGAGCTTTCACCGCTGACGAGCTGTTTTTTTCTGATGCCCGTGTGCTCTCAGTGGAGGGACACACGAATGGTAGCTTTTAGAGCAGAAGTCCATTTTAAACAAACAAGATGTTGTCGGTTTTACTACTAAAGGGGAGGGAGGTTTGTGTCAACATGGAACTTTAAAACTTGACAAACTTTAAAAGGGTTCCTCTGACCCACAAGGCATTCACATACGCACGGTCCTTGGTCTTCAGAAGGAACAGAGAGCAGCTGGGCAGAGTTGGAGTCGGTCACCACAGATCCCATTTGTCCCCCCCACCCCGGGACCCACCCCCCTCTCTCTGTTGGGGCCTGTAAAACACGGACTTTCGGCCAGGGCTCTGGTGTTGAGAATTACGGAGCTATCACAGCGACAGCTGAAAGCTGCCTGCTTCTTCTGGGCTTCCTGCTTCATCCCTGCCACGATTTGCCCCATGTAGTTGCGTTGGTCTCACAGAGTGGCGCAGCAGAACTCTTGTAACTCTTGTAGCACTCCAAGCACTTCACACGCTGCCAGTCCCAATCCTTCATTGATGGCCGGCACCGGACATCCCATTCCTGGCTCATATGGCCCCTCATGCCACTCTTCATCTCCACTCAGCGCATGGCTTTTAACTGACTGCGAGAGTACTGCCACAGCTTTGCAGGACGAGTGCGGCAATGTTTGCTTCTGCTTTGCAGGCCTGCTGGGCCGCCACAAGGCCTTGGACTGCGAAACGGTGATGATAGTTCGAAAGGTCCCTGAGGTTCTTCTGAGATCTTCGGGAGCCTTCTTGAGCCCGGAACCACATGAAGTTTCCTCCCATCGGAGGCACCTTGGCATGCGGCGCGGCCCAACACAAAGCGAGGTCTGAGGAGGCGTCGATGCTCATGCTTTGCTGCGCTTCTTGGCCACAAGCTCCCATGGCTCCCATGGCCGCCATGTTCTGGCCCCACCTTCGTGCTCAGGCGTTTCAGGTGTCAGCTCACATCAAAAAAAGTTGGCAAATCACTTCAATGTTCTGCCGAGTGGCGGCATTCCCATCATGATGGGCGACGGGCTTCTGCGCAAATCAATTCGTGACAAAGGCGTCCCTGTGCCAGCTCTATCTGAGCCTTCATTTCGAAAACGCCTTACATGTGCGGCCGATTGCACAAAACGCTGCCTCTCTTACTGGAACATTTGAGGAGCACATGCCGTCGGCTGCTGCGGGCGTGCTGGCACTTCGGAGTTTTTGCTTTGGAGTGTTTGTTGCTGTTTCTTTTTGCTTCAGCTAAGAACCGAGTCAAACAGCAGAGCAGCCACAGATGCAGCATTCGACGTTGTATGATGTTGTTGTATAGTTGGTTTTGTTGAGGGTGTGGCTTTTGTGCCTTTTGAAGCTTTTGAGCCAAGAGTTGTTTGCGCTTCCAGCATTGCAAACTTTCCGCCTTCTTGCAGAAACCAGAAGGTTTTCCCAGCGTGAAGTGGTCCACCGCCCAGGACTTCTGTGATGCCAGCATCCCGGTTTCCAGCACTGTGAGACTGTGAGACGGAATTGTCTCAAAGGCCTCGAAGGCATCAAAGGCCACAAAGGCCTCATCCTCACAAGAAGCCATGTAGGGTGCCTCATCTGTCGGAGGTACGTCACAACGGGCCCGTGACAGTGGGTCCATGGATCCAAGCAAAGTAGAGCTCGAAAAATACACAATGCTGCTGAGAAGCCGAACTCGTACTGAAGACTTTGAGGTCTAAACGGAGAGGGGTACCGCATCAAAAGCAATGAGACTCTGACTCTTTCCTTTCCGCCGGCGCGGAGGGTGGAACTGGAAGAGCCTTCGGGAAAGTACATAAGGACTAAGCAGCTCGTTGCTTAGACTCTTGGTGGAGAGACTTCCTTAAGCCTTTTTTAAGCATCTCATTATGTGCTTCGTGCTCTGGGGGACTCCAAAGATCGTGCCCACCTGCATGCAAAGCCTTCCAGAGGCACACGCGCGAGGACGACGTTCTCCTCCGGTTGATCATCCTTCTCCTCACACCAAAGTGCGAGAAATATGCGTTCAAAGATCATGACAACAACAGCGCATCAGAATGCGCACTTGGCAAAGCAGTACTGGTCCTCCAGGATGGGCTGCAAGCCTTCGCACACACCAGAGTCGAATGGAGCAGCTTTCAAGAAGATTCAAGAAGCAGGGCGGCTAACCATCTGGCGTGTTGCCAGTCACGGACCTCGGCTTGCGAGCGATGCGAGCTTCCGCTTATAAAAGTTTCCCGTCGGATCTCGGTGGATCTTTCAGTTTCCATTTGCCAATCTTGGACTCTCCAATTCTCCTGGGCCTGAGGACGCTGCCCAATCGTCCGCTCCGTGTCGGCCAGCAAGTCCGCGGCCTCAAAGATCCGCGCTTCTGAGCATCTAAAGTGACAGTAGCTCTAAAGTGACAGAAGGCGACTCCTTGGGCGAGGAGAACGGCTGAAAACCCAACACATCCCAAGAGACGGTGGTGACAAAAAGGGGTCCCTTTGCAGCTGTGGATCTCCTGGGCTTGGCGGTAGACCACCTCAGAGACACACTCACGACGCCCCCCCCCCCCCACTCACTTTTCGGACATCACAGAGTCCAGCGCCTGATCCATGAGCACCTCCTCCACCCACCGCCTCCTGTGCTGTAACGTAGCTAGAGAATAGCTCTACAGCACTGCAGCACGTCTGAGCTGCAGAGTGGAAAACCACAGCAGCAACGCCATATGCAGAAAATGCACAAGGCCGCCTTAACCCGACCAAGGGCCAGGTGCAAGCTATGCGCCAGCCTAAGAACATGTGAGTGCTAGTGAGGCGAGTGCAGTCAGCAAGTGATCTCATTGAGCTGACTCAGCTCGCTGCGAGACTGCTTGGTTGCCACCGTGGCAGGGATACGTGCTCTGCGACAGTGCAACGCGGCATAGGAGCAAAAAGGCCCAGTGGACACTACTGCACGAAGTTGGACTGCACCTCGATGATCGGCACAAAGGCATGGGTGAGAACCAGTGACCGGTCGACGTAGTTCTGCACATCCTTCCCAATGCTTCCTACCAAAGCTTAACAGAACGGCGAAGCGGAGAAGATGACGTCGCTTCACACACACTCTACCTCCAGACTGCGAATTCGATATCAAGACTCCAGCGTCCTTTGCTGCAACTCTCAGTCGATCCACAACCTGGAGCACGCTGCTGCTTTTGCAAACTTCAGGCCTTGCCATAATATACTATAACGTACTATAATATACTATAATATACGATTATATACGATCATATGCGATAATATACTATAAAATACTATAATATACTATAATATACTATACTATAACATACTAGAAGATACTAGAATATACTATAAGATACGACAATATACTATAAGATACTATAATCTACTATGCTCTACTATCATATCCTATAATTTAGACTATAATCTACTAGAGCTTACTGGGTATCTACTCCTTTCCTGGCCTCGTAGAGTTGCGACAGGGCAGCCTCATCCTTGTAGTGCTCACGGGCAAAGTCCTCCATGTGATGCGACAAGCAAGAAAGCAGATTCGACTTTCAGAAAACGAAACAAAAACACCGAAGAAGATTCTGCATAATCTTTCACACAAAAAGGTCTGCGCCTCCGTGAGGTGCAGTGCCCGCTGACCGCGAGAGAGCGCCTCTGCCGCCCTCAGGGACTTCTCCGACTTCTCCCGTTGTGAGGACAACATGATGGGGTAACGCTCTGATCACAGTGCACATGCGAGCAGATTGTATCGTTCATCTCATGGCTCAGCAGCTTTGTCGAACGAACATCCGAGCTCCGCACACGGACTGGATCTCTGCGGAGTCCCTGTGGGAGTGAATCTTCGGCTCTAGTTGGAGCTCTCGTTGGAGCTCTCGTTGGAGCTCTGTTCGAGCTCTCGTTGGCTCTCAATGGCTCGGACTGGCTCTCATTACGTTCCATTGCTTTGCACTGCTTCGCACCAGCATTGCTTTCAACTTTGCTTCGCTTTGGCCTCGGAAGAAGCTCATCGGAAATTTGGCGGAGCCTCAGCTGTGAGGAGAAACATCAGCGCAAAGCACGAGAGAGCACCAGCAAAGCACACATGTGTTCGGCAGGGAAGCGAAAGGTTCGCCACATCCGCACGCGGCATGAGCAGTGAAAAGAACTGGCGGTTTCTTGACAGGGAAGCTGCTTTCAGACCTCATATTCCAGGTATTGAGTTACAGTTATTGAGCTAAAGTACGGTTACTGAACCCGATTCTCAGTGTGTCAGGGCTTGTTTGAACGTCTCCGACGTCTGAAGCAATTATTGTTGCTTGTAGTAAAGTCTGCTGCTCTGACATGGGACGCAACTGCACGTCATGGAGCTCCGCGTGCACTTCAGAATCAAAACATGGCAAAATGGCAGTGATCGTCGCACAGGCACCATAAGCACACAATGCAAGCTCACTTTTCAGGTGCTGAGGTTGAGCTGGGGTTGAGCTAGCCGGCTCAAACTTCCTCGACACCGATCTCGTCATTGAAGACAAGAAAACGTGAAAGGTACTGCGTGTGGTTTGCGAAGAGACGCCAGGCAAAGTCGTAGTTCTCCTCCAGGCTTGGAGTCGCTGGGATCTCAACATCGCGCCAGCGCCGGTTGACCTGTGGCCGGAGGGGGGTGGCTCGGTCGGCTCGGTCGGCTCGGTCGGCTCGCTCCTCCCAGGAACCTGGCGTGGAAGCTGGCGGCGCTCCGCGCTGCTGTGCGGGAGCTGCTGGCGAGGCTTCGGTCTCGGGCTGGTAGGTGTCGTCCCACGCGGTCTCGGGGCCGGCGGTCTCGGTTTGGGCACTGCGGGTGCTGGGATCTTGGTAGGGCACGCCAGCATTGGGCTGGGCCCTGGTCTCTTGGAATTGGAGAATGCGCAAACAGGGAGGCTTCTGCTCGCGTGTGAGCCACATGAGGGTGCCCTGAATGTCGGACAGGTAGTTCAGGTGCCTGCGGGTGGTCAAGTGCTCTGGCGTAAAGTGCTTGTTGCAAGCGATACAGAGGACGCCACTCACGGTCTCGTCCACAATCATAAAGGGATCTTGTACGCAGTCCTCGGCGGCACCGAGATGCCGTGCTCTCATCTGCATCTCGCCGGCGGTGCTGGGCGGCGCGAGGGGAGGTCTCCCAGAGCCGGAGGGGGCGCCGGGGGCCCCGGGACCGCCTGGGACGCCTGGGGCGCCTGGGGCGCCTGGTTCATGTATGGCGGGATAGTTCAGGGGCTGCCTTCTCGTTGTCCAGGCCTCTGTAGCCAACGACGAGATGTGGAAGTCGTTCACTGTCTGTGTCACATTAACGTGTCCACGTTCGCCAGCTCTAATAACGTAAGCCAGGCCCATTGCAACGTAGGTAGCCCGACGTCTGTTCTTTATGTTTGAACCCATGCCAACCGCTTTCATGTCATCGAGTTGCAGCATAGAGGCACAGGTTTCCTGAGGCCACTTGCCTAATTGCCGAAGGATGTTCAGAGTAGGCCCGGTGACATCTGTTTCTGTGGCCTCCATGCGGCTCCTGGTCGTCTCTAGGGCCATGCAAGCATCCATGATGTGCGCAGCGTTGGACATGAGCGGCGAGTCGGGCACCAAGCGAAGGCAAAGCACCCGCTCTTCCGAAAGGATGGGCAGCCACAGGACCTCGCCGTCGAGGCATGGCCCGAACATCCTGAGTCACTGGTGGGGACTCAGTGTCCTGCTGCGAAGCGCGCTTCAGAACTTCACTGGGGCATCTTTGAGCCGCACATGCTCAGAAGACTTCAAGTCCATTCTAAGAACATTGAATGGCAGCAGCCCATTGCATGGTCGAAGGCCATATGTGGCCGCTCGATCTCGGCGTGTGCGATGATTAGGAGCAGCACACATCAGAAGTCATCCTTTTTGCGACGCGATGAGGAAGCTGCGGTCACTTTGGCCGCGGCATCGTGCAACGTCGAGCATCACAGGCTGCCCATCCTGCGTGCATGCATGTGACAGAACCCCTCCGACATTGCTGGGCACAATCTGAAAGGATTCCATCTGGTACCGAGGCAATGTCTGGTCTGTTCTTTGCCGAAGTTCGTGTTGGATCTCGCTTAATCACAATGCCACAAGGCGTTGAACAATGAGTATGCTGGCGAATGGCAAACGGACAACATCAACCTGCTCGTGCAAAGAGCAAGACGCACACAGCCGGCTACCGGCAAACTGGAAAGTATAATCCTAAGACCCACGAGTGCCTGGACAATCGTGGGCACCGACCCCCAACACTCCAGTGCTTTATTCCATAGCATTGAGGAATGCTAGCAAGCGTTCTCATTTTGCTCTTGGTGTGTGTGTGTGTGTCCAATCTGAGTGCAGTGTCGCACCCATCCTCTTTCAGATGGAAAGGCAAAGGATAGTTCTGGATAGTTCTCTTGTGCGTCCGGGACTATCTATCTCATGTCCACGGCACCAGGCGGAGCGCTACGCGCAGCTAGGGACACACATGAGCACCCGAAGCCAGCCGAAGCAATGCGACTTGGTACTCCAGTCCTCTACCGTCAAATCACCATCTGGGAGGTGGCGATCAAGGTGACCGCATTGTCTGCGCCTCCTCAGCTTCTCGGTTGTGTGTGGACTCGGGCCCTAGCGGCCCTAGCCCTTAAGGGCAAAAAGAACGCTCTCCGAGGCAGCGGCGTCTCCCGAAGACCTTGGGGTGGCTTTGTGGCTGACAAGGACCCCGGAAGGCTCGAAGGGTCTCTGGAAGCAGTTCACGCTTGGGCACAAAGCTCGACACCCTCAGCTACAGATGAGAGAAGCTTGAATTAGGCGAGAACCTTTGGCGGCAGGTCATCCTGAAGAAAAGCCAGGGATTGCAGGGCATCCACAGGGATTGGCCGACAGCAATTCTAGTCAAGCCCAAGCCCCAACAAGGCTCAGCTGCGGGGCAGTCCTTGGGCAAGAGTGGCCCGAGTGCCTCGAGAACCCATCAGCTTTCGATGGTATCCTTTTGGACTCGAAGACGTTACGAAGGATCAGTCAGCCGCCTCTGCTACATGCTGATCGAGGTCAGGTTGGACGGATCTCTCCTGCCCCCGGCTTTGACAATGCTCCACGTGGCTCCACGGCCGGGAACTTGAGAGCCCCCGTGCCTGGTCGCCGTGGGCAAGGTCCTCGATATCTTCGATGTCGAAGGGCCCATGGGCCGAGTGCTGCTCGATCACGCAAAAGAAGCCTCAGAGCAGAGCTGAGGCTAGCTGCAATTAGCTGCAATCTGAACTGCAACAAACTGGGATTTGGATTGCTGTTCTCGCGTCCTCAGACATTCATAAGCTGATGCACTGACTTGGTCAAAAAGCAGCAGCTCCAAAAAAGCAAAAACATCGTAATCCCCCCCCCCCCCCCTGCGCGCGCGCGCGCGCGCGTTGCGAAGAGCTCCCAAAGCTTCCAGGCGGATATTCACACATGGACACATAGATCTACCCTCGATCATCCCGAGACCGTACCGAGAAAACTGATGCGGGAGCCATCTCGTTTGAAGTGACTCCGCAAGGCTGCTGCTTTTCCTCTCCTCCCGCAATTCTCCGCTCTCGGGGCGGTGGGCACTCCAGAGGGATACTCTCTGTGGGGCTGCCCTGGAGCCGAGCAGCCGAGCACCGGGCGAGGAGGCGAGGTGACATAAAACGTCCCGGAAAACACCGAAGTCACAGCAAGCTCACAGCAAGCACGGTTGGGCAAGCCGGACATTCAGCCGCCCGTTAAGACATCAAAGCAGATACCCGAGAAAATCCCGACATCCCCATGCAAGCGCTGCCCAAAGGTATGTTTCAGAAACTGACCGTGCCCATCTAAAACAACCAACGAAGTCATAACAACCACCCTGCCCTTGGAACCGCTGCTCCAAGCACATTTGCGGTGACAAAAATCTGTGTTGATGAGAGGTCATTGTGATGAGGCGTGGTTTTGGGGTCTGCGCGACTCTTTGTGCGCCCGCTTTCCGCGATTGACCCCCCCCCCCGGAATGGTACCCCCCCCCCCTCCCAATGGTTATTCCCCCCTTCCCCCCTGGCATCGTTAACCCTAAACACCATGGACCACAGGGGGAGAGAGAAACCCTCAACCTAAACCCCGAACCCTGAACCCTAAGCCCCAGGGGGGAGAAGGGTAAACCCGAACCTTAACCGCTTTAACGCTAAACCGTAAACCCAGCACGAACCACAGGGGGGCGAGGAGAAACCGTGAACCTACCATTTGAACCCTAAACTCTAAGCCCACCGTGAACCAATGGACCAAGGGGGTCAGAGTGAAAATCCTGAACTCTACAGCCTAACCCTAAACCCTAAACCCATGATCCACAGACCATGAAACACCGGGGGGGAACCCAAAACCCACCAGGGTCACCATGACCCATGGGGGGGATTACCATGGCCAGGCGGGGGAGGGGGGGGGGTGTGCGTGCATGCTGACTCATGTATCGGCCGCCACTAGAGCGGGCTCGGAACGAAAGCACCTCCCCATGGCAAACGCTCAATGTTCCGACTACTCTTTTTGCTTCCGCGTAATGTGGGTGGCGATTGACAAGAAATCGTTACGACTAACCCCACACCGTCGGATCTAACTCCAAAAGACACTGTACAACCAAAAGCCAAGTGGGAAACAAAAGCATGAAGACCCATGAACACCTCCAATCGCATGCCACGTCGCGTTGCTCCGTTCCCACTGTGGGGCAGCCACGCTCCCCGCAGCAGATTAAATTCTCCATCTTGCCAATGGCAACTCCCATGGAAGCGGGCGACTTGAAACCGGAAGCTGGAAACAAATCTCGAAAGAAACGGCGACTATGCGACTTGCAGATGTTGGGTCCTTTTGATGGGTTTTGTTGAAGTTGGCACAGAGCCACAAAGCCCCTGTGTCTTCACGACACCTGCAAGCCGGATGCACTGTGGGATGCAGATCTGGCACTGGTATCCATGGTATGTCCAGCAGGGGGGCCAACATGTGCATGTCGGGACAGGCGCAAGCTCGAAGCTCGTTTTTGTCCGTGCCATGTGAGACCGTCTGTGGCCAGCCGCTATTTTCAGCACGACCTCGATGCTGTCAAGGGGGAGGAGGCTGAACCTTTCCAACATTGTCCGAGATCCGCACGCAGCCACAGACTGTGTGAGACTCTGATCTCCTCCAGACCTGTATCAGTCTCCGAGTGTGTTCGGAGCGTCGTGCGGGCTGGCCGCTTTCGTTTCAGACTATTCGTAAGTCACTATTGGCAGATGCGAAGATGTGTTGATTTGCTGGCCGAGAAAGAACGGAAAACCCTGCCTCAGAAGGTCTTCCGTGCTACAAGGCCTCGAACGTCGGACTTCCCCTCCTCGTACTCCTCGGCTCGGGGCAAGTGATTGCACTGCGCATTCCACATGTTCCATGGGCAACATAACCCATGGGTACCCCGTCGGTACCTAAAATCTGCTGAGGGTGACCCGCTTTTTCAGGTTGCTAATGGTTGCCGATGGTTCTGTGTCTTCGTCTTGAGGGCCTTCTTGGGGCCCAGTGGTGCGTTGCAGTGCACTCTCCTTGAAAGTGCTTTATGAAAGTTACGGAGCAGTCCGCTTATAGGGGCTGCTGGACAATACGTAGGCCTTCGGTGATTAGTTCCCTGCACAACCTTCGGATTGCCAGGTCTGTATTCAGGGATGATGCCACAGAACCTATGAGCCCCAAAGCACTTCCAGCCATTCAACCGAGAACGCATGAAGCAGATTGAAGCAGATCTTAGGTTCAGGATTGTTCGTGTTTGACATACTCTGACGATTCGAGGTGGCGCTGGAAAAGCTTCTCTCCCTTCCCCAACCACTTCTTATTCTTATTGAAGCATGACTTCTCCGAGCTGACACAATATGGGGAATGTAGGACGATTGACTTCGTTGTGGCGGCAGTCTAAATGCCCAGTCCTGCTTGGTGATGGCGACCTGGTCGAAGGTGGACAAGGACGCAAACATGGAGCCGCCAATCCAGGCCGCGAAGCGCCGCTGCGAGTCGCTGATGACCTCCACCTGAAAACCAAAGGAAAAGTACGCACAAACTCCACTCCTTTTCTGCTCTCTTCAAGAATCACTCCTCGTTCTTCCTGGTGATATGTTGAGGCTCTGATGGAGGCAAAGTTCAAGCAGAGCCGCTCCTCTATGATTCTTTGGATTCTTTGGATCCTGAGTCCCCCAACCGTCTTGGAGAGTTCTGAGGCCAGCGTGCTCTTGAGCTCCGACCTCGAAGCGTGCGTGTTGACGTGTGAGAGGGATATGTCACCCTGCTTCGGGCTGGGCTTTTCTGGCCTGGGCTAGCAGGGCTGACATTGGAGAGGGCCTTTTTGAGGGCTCAAAGGCTCAAAGTACTTGGAGGGCTTTGAGGCCTTAGAGGGCGCTTAGAGTCTTAGAGGGCTTGAGATCAGGGATGTTGCGGACATGTCTGGGCTGCGCCACTCTCAGATTAGCATGGCATCAGGCGGCGAAGGTGACAGCTTTCCCCAATGTTTTTAATGTTCTTGGTACCCCTCTCCAATTTCCTCGGTAACTGGACAATCATAGGAGAAGGGCCTCAGTCTGGGCGCCAAGTTCAGCAGCATCGAGGTGCCACCTCGAAGCCAGGGCTCAGGCATGCACCGCACGCAAAGCATGCGTCCCACAAGGCCTGCTACCACGACGCTCTTGACCAGGTCCTTCAAAAAACTTCAGCTTCGTTTCAGACTAATTTCAGGTTCATGTCCACTCGGGTGGGCAACTTGAACGCGGCCTGTCGGAAATCCAAGTCCACCGTGTTGATGGCATCCAGGCAGATCTTCTGCATGGAGGCCCTGTGGAGATACGATGGCGCAAAGATGCGCAAGCGGCGTAGTAAAGCTTCAGAACATTTCAGAAAGCAAGAGGCGTTGCTGCAGGCACTGCAGGGTGCCACTCACAGAGCTGGGTACAGAGCTCGCCCGCGCCGCCAAAAAGGATCTCCGTGGCCCCCGTCCGGATCTTCTCTTTGACCTCAAGTTCGCAGGCCCGAAAACTTCGGGAAACACTTTCGGCACCCAAAATCGGCCTGGATGATCTGACCATCTGGCAGCTCGAAAGACCTGGCTTCCTCGTCGCCACTATCTGGCCTCAGGACACGACGGACACGGGCCCAGCCGCAAGACCCAACAAAGAGTGTGTACGAGTTGATGCTCATGGCTGTTGGCAGTAGTTGAGCGAGATGCCAACGATCTGTTGGGGAGCACAGGGGTCGCCAAGACATGCCGACAAAAAAGAGCCGTCGGCGCGTACGAGCCGAAAAAGTGTTTGGCAATAGGAAGCCTGCTGAATGAAGACGCCGTTGTGGGGCACCAGGATGCCAAGGGTGAAAAGCACATTTTACAGTAGAAGTGCAGCACGTAGGAATGTGCAGATTGCCTGCATAGAAACGCTTCTAGACAAAACGTGCGCTCCGTCTTGGGTCGCAGCGCATCAGCCGGGACGCCACCGCTCCCAGACGGCGCCACGAAGCAGACCTACACTTTCGAGAACTCACCCTGCGAGGGAATACGTGTCTCACATGAAAGTGAGTGTGTGGGTGTGTGTGTGTGTGCGCGCGGAACAGCCAACAACAGTCACAAGAGATGGAAGCGCTCTCTGCTCTTGTGGTGCGCGCACTCGCCTTTGAAGAATAACCACGGCAGTTTGAAGACATGGACGAGCTTGGACCGGAAGACGCAATGGCAACTCATGCGCAACCACGTGTTGCCAGGCACCTTCTCCTTCATGGCCTGCATGGTGCGAAGGCTCTGCTTTGTACCAAGCTCTTCGGCCTCAAATTTGAAGGAGGCCCATCACCCAACATCGGCATGAATATCACTGTATATCCATCCCACCTTGGCCCTGTCTGGGGACACAGCCATCATGTCTTGCAATCGCTGTGTGATGTCGTGCCCAGCGACCTGAGGGTGCTAAATGACACGCAGGATCGGAACAACTGCATGTTGCCAGTGTCCGGCATGCAGCATACACACCAGGGTCCGCTGAGCGCAGCACCTTCATCTTGAAGATCGCGTGCGGTATCGCGTAGCCCTCGAAAACAGGGACGGCCTGGAGCACTGAAGCATGGTTTTCCGCTTCTGAAGGGAAGGGAAGGATCTCTTTGCCTGAGTGATGCCCTCGCCACTCTCCAGAACCAGTCCTCGGGTACCTCAGCCCACTAAATCAAGAACAACCATAACCCATCTGCTTGCCTGAAACCACAGAGGTCCTCATGATGTCTTCATGATGTCCTCATGATGTCCGCATGATGTCCTCATGATGTACCGAAGATCACTGAGAGGCTCACGACCCGTCGAGAATAAGCTGAGGGCCTGAGACGGTTACGTGTTGCCAAGTCTTGATACTGCTTGGTCAGGAGATTTTGCTGGAGTGTCGAGAATTGCTGAAATATCCAAGCGACTGCCGTGTTGAAGATGGCCAAGGACTTTACCTTGATCTTCTCGAACATGACCTTACGGTTTCTAACAGGTTCTAGTGGCGGCTCAGAGTCGAACGTCTCCCAGTTTCAAAGTCTCAGCATGTTCGCATGTTCCACTCGAATCTTTCTGGCCTCTGCTATCCATTGACGTGTCGCATAGGAACCTGGAATGGTTTGCAGAATCTGTGTGCACCTGCGTGCATCTGTGTGCATCTGTGTGCATCTGTGTGCATCTGTGCACAGTCCGAGCGGCTTTGACCCAGGGGCATGGTGTCGGCAATGAGACAGGGCAAGTCCTCTGAAGGCAAGTCGCTGCCCATGGACGAAACACAACAGTACTTGACAATAATGGCTCTTGAGTCGCCTCTCGCACCGTCCCCCGGAGAAGCTCTCGCCTCCTGCTCGACACCCAGCACATTCCGAAAAACGTGCTCGAGGAGGTTCTCCATGGCTTCCTCTGACGCAGCACTTTTGGAAGGGCTGGCTGGAACGAATCTGCAACTCAACTTCAGCACCATCGAAATCATGTCCTTCTCCGGCTGTGTGAGTTGTATCTCACCGCGCTGCACCGGACGCGTGATTTGAGCGTTGTCCTGTCTCCCGCAGCTCAGCCGGCTCAGCCGTGTCAGCAGCTTTTCTAAGAGAATTTGATGGCAGGCCCAGGGTCATCTCATGTCATCTCATGTCATCTCATGTCATCTCATGTCATCTCCAGCCCCCCCCGCCTGTAGGATGGCCTCCTCACCATAGAAGACCTGGCCTCGCACCCCGGAGCTCTCTCTTGGCGCATCTCTTCCCGTCTCTTCTCCCCACTCTGCACGATACGTCAGGAGACATCAGGATACATCGCTCTTCCCCGCGTCGCAACCAAGTTGCTCTTCTTCTGTGCCGCAGAGTCACCTGTTGCCTGCGCTGTGCGAAGAAGGTGCGAAACCAATGGGAAGTGTCTGTGACTTCTTGGGGCTGAGGAAGCTGCGGCAGCTTCGTCCTCCCTGGATTCATCTGCCTCTTGTGATAGGCACAGAAGCCCAAAAGGTCAGTAGCGTGCTACTCAGTTCAGCTAAGCCACCGTGGCAGTTGCCATGGCAGTTGGAAGCACTGCCCGAGGTGCATCTTCGCCGGAGAAGCCCACCTCCGAATCGTGCAAGCAGTGTGTTCGCGTTCGTGTTCTCGCCTGTGCCTGTTTGCTTCGTTTCCTTCGTTTGCCATGCCTTGAGAAAGCCGGAGCCTGTATCCAGTACCACAACGTCCTCCCAGCGGGAGAGGCATGGCTCGTGATCGCTTGAGGAGCAGCGGAACCCTTGCGCAAACAGTGCACACACACTTGCGCTCAAATTGTCGATCGATGACCCGTGCGGGCTCCTGCTCGTCCATGGTACATTCCAACTCCATTCCTGGGTCACTTTCGCAGCTAGCAGCTAGCACTTGGATTGCGAGCTTGTTGCCTCCGGTCGAATTCAAACGGCTGGGCCCTCTAGGGCCCTAGGTCAAGGTTTGGCCCGTTGTGTTCAAGGTTTTGGCTACAAGAAGAAGCGCAGTGCATCAAAGCCTCTGCCTGCCTCCATCCTGGCCGTGACCCCTCTCCAGGCCTCTAAAGACCGCAACAAATGTCTCCATTTGTCAGTCACATGGGGACTCTTTGTAGAGACAAGAACTGCGATGGTCGCCCCAGCCTTTGGAGAGGGCCTGTGCCACGGGAGCCGCTTGAGCCAAAGCTGCAGACATCAAACACAAAGCCTGCAAAGCCTGCCCTCGTCCCTGCGTAGACGCTGTGCCAAAGGAGGCACCGGAGCAGCTCTCCAAGTAGATAAATACCCTCGCCGCGAGCACCACTCCCCACTTTTCACTGCGTATGGCGCATGCTTCGAGGGGAGCGTAGAAGCTGCTCAAACGATCTTCTTCAGCTCCTCAGCCACATACCTCGCACAGCTGTCAAGACCTAGCCGGCCCTAGCTCCAGTTTTCGGCACTCACGTTTCACATCCATACATATCCCTGCGGCGTACCCCGAAGCATCTGCTTGACCAGAAGGATCAATCCTTGCTGCCAGCTTCTGCCTTGTTCCAATCCCATGGGTCGCACAAGGCTCACGGCTAGACGCAAGCAGCTCACATAGGCTCATAGTACAGTTGGCCAGTGTTGCGCGACGCGCCAGCGGCGGGTTTGCAGTGGTCTTCCGTACTACAGTATCACATTATGGTTCCTGGCTGTCCGTTATCGCGCTCATTCGTGCTTTCCCGAATGCCCGCCCGCAGAAAATCCCGCAGAGAGTCCCGCCGGGATCCCTGCAGTGCCCACCCCCAGAGAATCCCGCAGAAGCAGAGAATTTCGCGGACAGTCCCGCGACAGAAGCCTGGGGAGAAGTATCCGGTAGTAACTACCAGTCCGAAAACAGCTGGATGGCTCCCACATTGAGTAGCTGCAGGCTGGGAATGATCGAGATTGATAAATTGAATATCTTTTTCTTGTCGTTTTCCCATGACTCTTCTTATTCTTCTTTTGGGTGTGCACTCGAGTTCCCCTTCTTCACTCTGATGCTCGTGATGCTCACCCTGCCTCGTCGAATTAGGGCAATTCATGTTGCAAGTGTCTGGAGCTCAGGGGACGACGTACCCAGACAATACTCATTCCATGCTCATGATGCTCAACCCCCGCCTCGTCGAACTTGCGCCACCACTTTGGCAATTCGTGTTGCAAGCCTTCTCCCAAATACGTTTTTGCCCGCTGCCCGAATGCCGTATAATGTAAAACGTTTGGTCCCCCGGAATCTTATTTCGTTTTGCGGGCTGGCTTGGTTGGGATAGATGGATCCCCTTGAAACTCATGTAAACTCATCCCTTTCAAAATCATGTGTGATCCCTTTTAATTTCATACAGTCTCACCCCTTTTAAAAACATATGGATCCCTCAAGCTCATCCCTTTTAAAATTAAATGGATCCTGCTCAAAATTTGTAAGCTCATCCCTTTTAAAATCATATGGATCTCGTTTAAATTCATATAAGCTCAGCATGTAAAACCATATGGATCCCATTGAAATTCAAGCTCATCCCGTTTAAGATCATATGGACACCTTCGAAATTCACATAAACTCATCCCTTTTAAAATCATATAAAGCCAGACCCCCCCAAAAAAAAAAAAACTTTGCCCCCCCCCCCCCCCCCCCCCCCACACGAAAGAGCGGGGTCCAATTGTTGAGGGGCGGGGCAGACTAATCAGCAGACAACATTACACCCGTGTTCCTCCTCAAAGTGAGCCTTGCCCCGTGAAGGTGTGACCCCTTGCGTGTTGCACCCGAAATCTTCTGCAATGCATGCTCTTGCCCGGTGAAGGTTTGACCCCTTTCGTGTTGCAGCGGGGTGTTCTTCTCCAAAGTACGCTGTTGCCTGTGAAGGTGCGACCCCTTTTGTGCACCCATGTCCTTCTCCATAAAGTTTTTGCCCCGTGAGGGTGTGACCCCTTGCGTGTTGCACCCGAAATTTTTCTGCAATGCATGCTCTTTCCCGGTGAAGGTTTGACCCCTTTCGTGTTGCAGCGGGGTGTTCTTCTCCAAAGTACGCTGTTGCCTGTGAAGGTGCGACCCCTTTTGTGCACCCATGTCCTTCTCCATAATGTTTTTGCCCCGTGAAGGTGTGACCCCTTGCGTGCTGCACCCGAAATCTTCTGCAATGCATGCTCTTTCCCGGTGAAGGTTTGACCCCTTTCGTGTTGCAGCGGGGTGTTCTTCTCCAAAGTACGCTGTTGCCTGTGAAGGTGCGACCCCTTTTGTGCACCCATGTCCTTCTCCATAATGTTTTTGCCCCGTGAAGGTGTGACCCCTTGCGTGTTGCACCCGAAATCTTCTGCAATGCATGCTCTTTCCCGGTGAAGGTTTGACCCCTTTCGTGTTGCAGCGGGGTGTTCTTCTCCAAAGTACGCTGCTGCCTGTGAAGGTGCGACCCCTTTTGTGCGCCTATGTCCTTCTCCATAATGATTTTGCCCGGTGAAGGTGTGACCCCATTCGTGTTGAATTCGTGTTCTTCTCCAAAGTACGCCTTTTGCTGCAGACGCAGAAACCAACGTACTCAGAAAAACACACACCTGTTCAACCCCCGCCTCGTCGACATTGCGCACTGAACAGTTGGGTTGCAAACGTCTGGAGCTCAGGGGGCCATGTGCCCAGAAAATACCCAGCTGATGCTCATGATGCTCGAAGCCCAGCTCCGCTAAATTGGTGCCGCCACTGGAGCAATCGGTCTTGCAATCTTCTGGAGCTCACGGGAGCCACGCGCTCAGAACATGCAAGTTTGCCCACTCACGTGGGCAGCTGTTTTTGCAAGCGTTTGGAGCTTAGGCAGTCGTACGTTGAGGACGAATAGCGTCCTGGGCTGCGGACTTGTCTGGTGGCAGGGATCGCAGCATCCAAGCACACTCCGGCTGGAGGCGGAAGTCGTTAATGAGCGCCTGCTTGTGCTGAGGGCCATGGCAGAGTCGGAGAGAAGTCAGCAGAAAGAGGCATAGCGAGAGAGAGAGAGAGAGAGGTAGAGAGAGAGCGAGCCAGCGCGAGAGAGAGAGAGAGCGAGAGAGCGAGAGAGCGAGAGCGAGAGAGAAAGAGAGAGAAAGAGAGAGAAAGAGAGAGAGAGAGAGAGCGAGCAGCGGAAACAAGGAGTGAACGATACCAGCAAGAAGATGGAGGGAAGGCCGAGGCCTCAATGGCTGCTTTGGCCGATTGCTTTACCGGCCGCATCCTTGGGAAAAGAACGAACCAACTTCGTGTGTGCTGCGCCCCTTCCATCCCTTTGAAAACCTTGGCAGAGATTTGTCTCGCAACAACATGTCGCCAGATGTGGGGCAGTCACACCAGCAAACAGAAAGTACAAAGTGGGCAACTGGCCCTCCGTTTTGTCTTGGACCTGGCATGGGTAGCATAGAAGCTTTGTCTACCCACAATACGGCCCTATGGGCAGCCAGTTCGGGGTGTCGCGCGGCACTGACATTGTACTTGTACCATCCCGCATCGTCCAACCCAGGAAAGGAGTCTGTTAAGCTTCTAATATGTGCTTGACAGCAAAAAAATCGGTGGGAGCCAGCGTTTCGATGCCCTGATCTCTTCAAATAGGCCTACAAACCTTCGGGCCTGCGTCCTGTGACCGACTGTCCGCATCTTGCCTTGCGCCGTACAGCGCCGCACTAGCGCCAGCAACCCACTGTTCTCCAGCCCCAAAACACGCCAAAACCATACTTGTGTGCATGGACTTGAAATGGTGTTTTCAGCCCCTGCCCCAGAGCATGCCAAAAACATGATTCCACATAATTCCCCAACCCCCGGCTAGAAAAAGGGGAGGTTGGGAACAATGGTCCTGCCAACACGTAGTTCCCAACCGTTCACGGCAGATGCTACAACTCTAAATTGGGGCCAGATCAGGCATGCTCCCTTTCTGGTAAATCATACCTACACCACATTCTTGAGACTGAGGGCTAGAGCGAAGCTGTCGCTATGCACATTGGTGTTTAAGAAGCTGTACTTGGGGCCGCCTCATGACGAAGGCATAAGGTTGATTAGATCATGAGAAAAGCAAAAAAGTCTTTTTGAGAACTCACTAGATAGAGTAGATAGAGCAGAGTGGCCGAACTTCAAGTGCAGCGTGGGCAGATGCTGACAGATGAGCCTAGCCAAGCTCAAAAAAGGTCTCAACAACAGGATCGGAGCCTCGAAGCAGGCAGCCCGAACGATCTGCTTCGAGAGCCTGCACAGGCTTCGAAGGGAGCTGGCGATGCTGAGTCGGGTGGAGGGGCTAAGGAAACATGGGCAAGGACACGGAGGGCATCAGCCTGCTTCATACGGCTCAGGAGCGAGGAGGTCGGACTCCTCTGCCACATGCGTAAGAAAATGGAAATGGTTTTGGTCCCTTTGCATTTGTGACTCAACACCTGTTTGGTCGCAGGTGCCTGGCATCTAAGGGGCCGCGCCGCATGACTTCCTGCTAGGCCGCGACAATGCTAGAGAGAGCTTCAAAGCTTCGAAGCCATACACTGGAATCAAGGACATGACCACGCAGGCTCACTGGCACAAAGGGCTTCTGCAGGAAACATGTCCAGTGTGTTTGACGCTTGACCCAAAGTACCACCATCACACCCAATCGCATGAAAAGATTGTCAGTAGCTTCATGTTCACTCTCATTGAATACTCTCCTGCTGCAGATGTGGCGGCATGTCCCGGAGCTTGTTGGCCACCTGCGAAGAGGTTTGCTGGATCGTGCAGCTCCCCTCCTCCTCTTCTCAGGCACCACAAGATTTTGGAAATTGAGAGGCAAGGCGCTTTTTGCTTCCCGCGGCTGATCCTGCCCTGAATCTCAGCGGGGTGTGGCACTCTCACACGGCTTGGATCGTCCTACCATGCAAATGCATACTGTGACAATGCTTCCCGTAGGGCTCTCTTCCGGGAGCGATCGCGCCTCAATCCACTTCGTCTTCGGTCAAACATTCCTTCTCGTGCCTCGTCGGTTCCATTCGATCTGGTGGGATTCGGAATTGCAGCCGCGGCCTCAAAAACTATAAAGGGACAGCATATGTTATGTTCTCCAAAAAAACTGCCTGATATCTGCAAAAATCAGGAGAGACATCAGATTCACTTGAGCCCTTCTTCGCCTGTTCAGCCACGCCTGGACCTCTTCGGCCTGGTCCTTCAATGCAGCTCAGCTCGGAAGCTCCAGGAGGAGGAAGACATGTCTTGAGAAAAAGGCAGAGAGGGGCGCTCCTAACGCCACATTTTACGAAAATTGACATATAACAGGCAGAGCAGCAGAGCAGCAGAACGCAAGAATCAGAAGAAAGGGATGCACTTGCATCACCGGCATGTGCGAAAACTTGATGGATTGCACTGCACTGCCGTTGGTGCGGGAGCAAAAGTACCTGCGCTAAGGCACCTTTCGGTGCCGATGACCCACTCTGCAGGAGAGAACTCGTTGGCAGCATTTGGTTTCTCAGACCGATGACCCACTCTGTAGGAGAACTCGTTGGCAGCATTTGGGTTCTCAGAGAGAAGGGGGACGGTGCTGGAAGAACACAGAGAAAGAGAGAGAGAGAGAGAGAGAGAGAGAGAGAGAGACAGGTTTTAGCGCGGGGTGGAAAAAGGCTTAGCTCCTGGAAGACAGAGGGGTGTGGATGATGATGATGATGATGATGATGATGATGATGATGATGATGATGACGATGACGATGATGATGATGATGATGATGATGGTGAAGGTGATGGTGATGATGATGGTGCCCACATGGTTTTTTTCACGAGTCTCATCGCTTCTGGGCTTGTACAAGTTGAACGGACAGCTTCGTCCAGTGACAATCGGCTGTTCCTTTTCTGGGACGCGAAGACAGCCGCTATTCTCAGGCCACCTGCCGCGTTAGGGTCTTGTCGCAGTTTTGCACTTCCGGATCCGTTGCCCCACTCCCTCAGAGGGCTGAGACTCAGACCCGAGAAATGCTCCCAGACTGGACCCTCAGCAGGATTCCACGGCAACTCCACACCCTGACCGACTCCCCCAAGCTCGGACTCGGTTTGTGGCGGCCGCTTGGGCGTTAACAAGCAGACGAGGGATCAGCGAGAAACAGCCCCAGGATGAACCGCACTGGAAAAGACACTCTGCAGCCTGAGTAGAAGTTCACTAGGCAGAGACGATGTTGTTGGTGATCTTCGAGGGTCTTAAGACATACTGAACTGAATGATCAGCTCCTCAGGTGTGTCAGCCAGGTGCCTTGCCAGGGCGTATTGCCAAACATCTAGAACAGAACAGAATTGATGAGCATGAATATTGAAGGCAAGAAAGGGCCAACCTGCCTGGCCATGGACAGAGGATTGTCCCAGGCGGCAAACAAGCTCAGGCTGGGCCTCCATCCGGGGGCGAAAAAGTTGGGGGAGAAGGGAGGGAGGGGGGTGGCACTGTCGGGGCCCTAAACCCGGGAATCCGGGCTCTCCCAGGAGTGCACGCAGAGCAGCACCAGTCTCACCTTCCTGGGGCCATGAAGCACACAACAGAGAATGGAAATGAAGAGAGAGCAGGTAGGCCCAGGTAGGCCTTTGTGAGAGCATGCATCTGCGCACTCATGCCACCATACCTCCCAGCAAAGCCGTGGCTCGGCTCAATCAAGCAGGGAATTACGCAATAGTGCCCCTTTCGAGGACTGCCCGAGCACTTGCTTCTCCTTCTCAGCTTCCGGCCCATCCGGGACCCGCGGATCAGCCCGTGCGTCCAGCAGGTGCCGGCAGCATTCCACATGCCTTGGGCGATCGGGAACAGGTCGACCTGCACCGTTTCCATCCCTTTCCCTTTTGCGAGCGATGCTGCCCACCGGCAGCCGCCACGTGTAGAGGCTGCAGCCCATCGTTGTCAGCCTGGGACAGCAAATACGTGATGACAGGCTGGTCTGCTTAACATGCTGAGCGGCTAAGAAACTGGGGTGGCATGAGTTTCTCTGCATGCCGCGGCGCTGGGGATGGCTCCGCACGCTGCTGAAGGAGCACTCCTCCCAATCAAGACCAATCCGTTCGCTCGCCTATTAAGGATCTGCCCCTCAACGTTTCCTACCACGTCCGCCAGCCCCGCGAAGCATGCGCGGTGCAATGGCCGCCAGCCCAAGTGGTCTGCAGCCTGCCACGAGCATCCAACATCCGCAAACCAAGGAACGAGTCAAGGGTTTCCGGGCGCATTCTGAGCACAAGGACACGAACGGAAAAGCCTCCACATTGGCGCCAGCTTCTATCCTCAAGCCGACAAGTAGAATAACTTGTATAGACTAAGTGCACATGGCATGTCATGGCAACCTGTCCGTAGCTGAAGGGTTGTGGTTTTTCAGTGAGTTCTTGGGGTGGCCTGGGACAGGAGTAGAGCATCCCCTCCAAACCAGAAGCTTTGCACACAGATACCCTTTCTCCTCGGACCGAACCACGCATCACTTAGAAGACCATTGCTACAGCTACTCCCGATGTGACAGCCATCCTGCCGTTGTCGGACATAGAATTACGAATACTTCGAACGCAGGCTTTTGTCGCGGGGCCTGTCTGGGGATGGTCACTCCAAGCATACTCGGCAGGACTCTTGCAGGAATGTCTGGGTAGGCATTCCAAGGGTGCTCGGCAGGACCGTCGGTGCTTCTCTGAAAATGAGCACTTCATAGCATACTTGGTGGGACTCTTCCCGCTGGTGCTCGGCGTGGCTGAAGGCTTCCCTGGTGGTGGGCACTCCAAGGACAACAGCATTGGCAGATTCGCGTGCTCACCGTGTTTTGGTGGTCCAAAGGAGGCATCAGGCCCATGGGGATGTGGTTTTCGTGCATTCAGAAATGTGGATCAAAAAAGGCTCTGTCAATTGCAGCCTCTCTTCAATTCCCAAACTCTCGTTGTCGTTGAATTGCTTTTGCAGAAAGCTCTTTTTCGCCGTATACATTCCCTGAACCCCATGCATGCCTGCTTGCTGTGTGGCTGACAGGTTGCTGTGCCGCAGCAGCATGCTTCTCCCAGCTTTGCAGGCTACTCTGGACCCGAGGCCCTTGCAGTTGTCTTGCCCCATCTCCGTCGCCCTGGAAAAGCGCCAGTAGCAACGGATCTCCTGCCTCTTCGAGGTATACCTCAACGGCACAAAGGAATCTCTGAAGCGTGAATAAGCGCGATGCATTGAAAAATTGTTGCAAGGCGACATTTGTGAGCTCCAAGAAAGCGTCAGCTCCAAGAGAGCAAGCAGGTTTCGATGAAGCACCTCAGTGCGTGGCCGTTTCTTCGCCAGGTGCGCCCACTGCATGGCGTTTGCGGCCCATGACAGCAGTGTGTGGTGTAGGGGGCCGTGGGTCACGGTGAGCGTCGGTGAGCTCGTGGGCGCCTTCTTGTGGCTGTGGAGAGGAAGCAATGGCAAAGGGGCTGAACATGGTATGCACTGCACGTCAAAAACTTCGGTGCTAGCTCTGTGAGTAAGGGTCATCGCACTCTCGAGCCAAGTCAACCACAGTCAACCACCGATGCAAACGTCCAGAGATGCACGAGCTATCGAGAGCTCTGCTTCGGGCACGAGATGACTCTTGGCCTCCACTTCGAGGTCTGTGGCCGCCTGGAGAAACTCCTCTTGCCACGTCGAAGAAGTACGGTGAAAAAACAAAACTGACCATCCTTGAGAGCGCGCATGAACGTGGCATCTTGGCGTATCCTCCACCTCTGCGGCCACCTGCTTGCTCGCCGACGGCTGCGCGCCTGCCAAGCGAAGCATCGGAATGTCCGAGCTTTTTCCACTTTGTTTGCTCTCGCGGCCTTCTTTGGAGCTGCTTGAGTAGCCTCGGCTGCGGCTGGAGGAATCCTAAAATGAAGGGAAGCCCTAAATGTTTCAAAGTCGCACGTGAAAATGATGAATTTCAATGACTCAACAACTTTTCTAAACAACAAAGCCGCTCTCACTGCTCGAGGACCGGCCTTGCGCAGAGCAACAAAATACAAACACACTTCAACTCTCTCGCCACTTCCGAGGATGTTCCCGACTCCCTCCGCGCCTGGCCGAGACGGGCCCCACCTCACACTGAGAGCGAGCGAGCGAGAGAGAGAGAGAGGCGGGCATTGAGAAGTGCCTTTTGTGGCTGTGCTCTCTTTGCTTCCCAGAGAAGGGATGGAAAGTGGCCATCCGCAACCCCTACATTCTCCGACAATCTCGCTTTGGTCCAACTATCCCAACGTTTGTCTACTATACCCCGTGCTCTTGTCAAATATAAAGCCGACAGGCCAAGGCACGGCGCGTGCGGCCGGATGCCCCGCATGCCCATGTGCATCATGTGGGGCCTTGAGAGAGCACAACATCCAGCAAAGATGCGACGTGGGATTGTCTGAACATGTCTGAACCAATTCGAAAGCTGCGACCGTCGACCAAACTAGCCCTCGCCAAGCGGCGGCATCATCCCCATCTGTTGCTGCACCATGGCCTGCGTGAGCAAACTCGTGACAAATAGTCACGGAATCCAGCAGCTCTGGCAAAACTGAGTTGGAGGCCATGTAGCCTGGATGGTGCATGAACTGCATGAACGCTGCCTCGCAGCTGATATGTTTGGGATCAGGTGACAGTCGACATGTTTGGGAGCCGGAGCCAAAGTCCTGTAAAGGAACCTCGTTTGCATTTGTTGTTCGGGGATCTATTGGCCCCTAACTTGAAGCAGCCATGAACCTCCAGCAACTTCGCGCCCCACATAAAGACGAGCTTACGGGCATGATCGGGCATGTCTGCAAATTAAATGACAAGCCAAGGGCACTGCGACTCAAGAGAGCTCACACGTCGATTACATGCAACAAGCAAACCTCACCCACCACGTGCCAGAAGCTGCGGGTGACGTCCAATTCGGGAGCCAAATTTGGGAACCGAGGGGTGCAAATTCAGGCCTCAGAATTCGGGGAAAGACAAAATTCCGAGGAACCCGTGCCGCGGCCGCGGACCGCATAGGGCAATTCGGGGCCAGCGAGCCAACAATTCGGGTGCCGCAGTACGCATCGTGCAGCGCGTGGATCTGACTTAGCGCACTGCGGCCGCGCTCTGCGAAGACAGATATGCCGAACCACAAAACCGGCGGCCGTTCCCCGGAGCTAGCTACGTAAAGTACAAGCGCCCCCCCCCCCCTTCGGACCTGCAGAAAAAAACAACTCGCACGACAGGCGGCCATTCCCGGAGGAAGGTATGCAAACCTAAACCCTAAACTAATGGAGTAAGTAGGGGGGTGGGTGGGCAACCAGCCCACAACCCTTAAAGGAGATGTTGGGTACCAATCCCCAAGCCCTGAGACCTAAAAGGAGATGAAAGGAGTGGTGGTGGGGGGGGGGGAGCGGCAAGCCCGAAACCCAACAGGAGTCAAAGCCCTAAACCCTACAGAGTTAGTGAGGAAGGAGGAAGAGGAAGGAGCTACAGTCCCTAAATTTACAGGAAGATGTTTGCCACTCTGAAGAAACGAAGCTTTGTGTGGCAGCGAGGATTGCACGCGAATGCTGCCCTGCTGATGTGGGCTGGTGGAACTTCGAACCGGGTGTTCAGCGACTGCTCACACAAGAGAGAGAGAGAGAGAGAGAGAGAGAGAGAGAGACAGAGAGGCAGAGAGAGAGAGAGACAGAGAGACAGAGAGACAGAGAGACAGAGAGACAGAGAGACAGAGAGACAGAGAGACAGAGAGACAGAGAGACAGAGAGACAGAGAGACAGAGAGACAGAGCGACAGAGAGACAGAGAGACAGAGAGACAGAGAGACAGAGAGACAGAGAGACAGAGAGACAGAGAGACAGAGAGACAGAGAGACAGAGAGACAGAGAGACAGAGAGACAGACACAGACACAGACACAGACACAGACACAGACACAGACACAGACACAGAGAGACAGACAGACAGACACAGACACAGACACACACACGCGCGCGCGCACGGGCTTGGTGCTTTTTCTTGCTAGGTCAGGAGATCACAATCCGCGGTGCAATCCACGGCTGCTTCGGCCAGCAAGTTGCCGATGAGGCGCTGCCTCAAAGCACAGAAATCCAAACGCAAAAACGGCGACGGGAAGGGGAGGGCTGGGACGAGTCTTTCTATTGCTCGAACATTTTGGAGGTGCAAGTGATCCGTGTGGTCTCTCACTATTTGGGGTCTTCGCTGGCATACTGTAACTGTTGCTGCGAGGTATATTCGTTAAGTCATATCCCTCTCCCTACAGCTTTCTCCAGCTTTCTCAACACAAACACCCTGCAAAGACTGGAGAAATGAAGAAGCAACAAAAACGCGGCGCAAGCCACTCCAGGAGGACATCCCTCAAGGGGCCCGTAGGGCGGACCACGAGGCCACGGAAGGCGTCACCATCGGAGGCGTTGTGGACGAGGGCCCCGTGGCGGCTCCGGAGGCTGGTCCTCCAGTCCTTTCCGTACAAGACGCTCAGGTACCGCTCCGCCTCGTCCTGCCTCGGTATCCAGACCCAGAGCTCAGGATCTCCAAAGATCTTCTTCTGGCGCTGGTCCCGGCCGTCCTCTTCGATCCCTCGGAGCGGGAAGCTCTGTGCGTAGCGCAGCTCCGTCCGGTGGATGTAGTGCCAGTGCCACCCAGATCCATCCATCCCATGACTGTCCAGACTGTCCACCCATATCCGATCCGTGAGGTGGGCATCGATGTAAGGGAGATGGCAGGCCAGGCCATGATCCACAGACCTGGGGTCCGCCGCAGCCGGGACCTGCAGGAGGCAGAAGCGGTATTGGAGGTAGATGGGCATGTGGTACATCGCGATGCCCGCAGCCATCAGCGCAGTGCGAAAAGCCGGCTGCACCATCCGGTGAGCATCAGGACGCCAAAGCGCGACGTCCACATCGCAATCCTGAACACCGCGTTCCAGGCACGTCTACATGAGGCACATCGCCTTTGCAATATGGCGAACAGAGAGTCATGCAAAATTGCAGAGTCCTGTGGCAGCATCCCGGCATTTCTCATTGTACCCAGAAGCCCCTTAGCTGCTTAGCTTGCAAAATGTATCAAAGAACTTCTAGGTACCATGCTCAAGACTGGAAGACACAGCGAACATGCAGGAAAACGTCAACACGCAGCCGATACTGCAGAGTCCGGCTGAAATGATAGGCAGTTCACGCCAGAGGACATCCACCACTTCACGCCAAACTCATCAAGCAGGCCGCCGACATTCTTCATCAAGAAATACATTGCCCGCGCACCCTGTGGCGTCAGGCTCTGCACGGGAGGCCACCGCACTCGGTCACAGAGCCTTAAGTGATCTTCAGTGTCAGCGCAGGCTGGGCTTTGGTGATAGGATGTCGTAGGAAGTCATTTGGGTGCATTTGGGTGCTTTCAGACATACTTTTCTCCGTGTCGCTTGGCCAGCGTCGGCGGGGGCGGCTGGTTTGGGGACGGCAGTGCCACAGCAGGGGCCACGGGCAGACGTTCCACTGGTAGGCCGAGGCCGCCGAGCTGTCCACCGAGTTGGGCCAACAGGGTCCAAATGGGGAAGGTCCGAGAAAGGGAGCAAGTGGCTGCCACCTCAAGAGCTCTTAGGGCATCTTAGGACAGCTTAGGGGCCGTAGGGGCTGTGAACCATACCAAGCGTCAAGGGCCGAACCCGAACGCTTCAACTTAAAAAAAAAAAAAAAAAAAAAAAAAAAAAAAAAAGAACATGCCCCTCGCTGACCTGGCGTTGTCCGTCCAAGCTCCATATTGCCGCTTCGGCCTGCGAGCTGCGGGCTTGCGGTGTCTACTTTCTGCCTCCCCCTAGCCAGCTGCTGCGAAAGCAAGACATGTGTGGGCAGCGGGGCTTGCAGTCGGTGAAGTGCTGTGCTGAGGATGCAGATGACAACGACATGGAATGACTGCGCACCTGCTGAAGCTCGTTCTGCGCCGCCTGGGGACGAGGGCGATGCATCCGGGATGGTGCTTCTGCATGTGCGTTCCATACTCTTCCAGTTCTCACATATGAGACTCCGGTCTCACAAGAATGTGCTCTTATCGAGCTGACAAAGAAACTGAACTGGAAGTGAAAATGTACCGCTTGTGCTCCGACTCACTCGAGCCAAAGCCGTTCATACGAGTTGGGCTTGCAAGATGAATTCTTGATTTCTAGGCACGGGAGTTGTAGCTTCAGTGTCTATTGTGTTAAACAGTTGACCGGTCATACGCGTAGCATCAACGGAGCTGCATGCAATGAGGCAAAGCTCTTCCACAGCGGAGCCCCTTGATTCTTCCTCCGGATGCTCTCTGTCGAACCTATGCAGCCTATACACCCCTAAACCTGCCGTTACGCATCCCTTTACGCTCTTGCTGATGCTGTCGTGGGCATCAGCCTGCACTGTCTTGATCTGCAACATAGCAGGATCTAGCGTGTCCATTCATGTGAATGTGAGCGTTAAGACCCCGCGCCTGAATCAGGCTCCGCTGGTCCTCTGACAGCACCTCGGCACCGCGGCGCTCCCGACGCGGGCGGCGCTCGGGAAGGGCCGCGCGGGCCGCCTGGGCCGCCTCGCGCACAGCCAGGGCCAAGTTCGCGAAGGCCACAGCCCAACGGCAAGCCACGCCACAGGCCCAGGGCTGCCGCGCCGCCAGCTGCACCTAAAAACAGCCCACAACTCCCGTCACGATCTTGCCAAAAACGGGCCTTTTTGGTAGTTCTGAGATCTCTTACGATGACTGTGTTTATTGCCAGTCTGTATTCTCTGGGCTTCTTATATTCTAACCATTGATGCTACTACCACGGTGTTGTTGAGTCGTAGGGAACGAACAAACAATAATGAAAAGACAAATACAAGCAACTAACAGCCCGCAATTCGCTTTCAATCATGGGACTTGGATGTATACAAAAGACCTCGAAGACAATGCTCCTGTGTCTTTCTTACGGCATTCATCGGGAACTGAATGCAATCATTTGTATCCTTGGGGTATTCATTCATGTTCTTTACGCTTGGGGGCCTACCATAAAGGGGCGGACACCCCCCCCCCACCCCCAACTCTGCCCACCCACTACCTCCACCGGACCCAGGTTGTCCTTGCTACCACTACCATTCCATTTAAAACAACGTGGTATAGGGTATATAACCCCCTAACTTCAGGGTTCATAGGGTTCTTAAGGCAGGGCCCTCAGCTTCCCTAAGGTTCAATGGGTTTTCCTAGGTACCTACCCCTCATGAACCCCCCCTCCCGTAGCCTGGAAAGCTGGCATGGCCCCTGCAGCAAGGATGACACGCACAAATCGAATGGCTCAAGATGAAACAGGGTCACAGGGTTACCGGGGTTGTGGGCTTCGGCCTGTCCCCAGTAGGGTTTCCCTTAGGTGCCTCTTGTTCGGGGTTCTGGGGTTGTGTCTCTTGGGGTTTGGGGTTCCCGAGCTTAGGCTGGTACTCCTCTTTTGGCCCCTACCTTCTCCCTGGTTCCCCTAAGTTCGGTTCTCTTTTAAGGTTATTCTTTTGGTTTCCTGGGGTTATGAGCCCAAGTGTCGTGGTTCTGTGTGGTTAATGTTTTCAGGGCTTTAGGAAAGATCCATGGATCCTGCGTCTTCGCTCTTGCTGGAAGCTTCCTCTGG